AACTATTTCTCCCAAGAGGCGTGAGCGTGATCGGTTGGACCACAGGCACACTGCAGTACACGGCACAACCAGTCGGCAAGAGGCGCTGTTGAACCGTGTGCGGAGCCTCGCTCATTCCTTGAGCTGAACATGGCACTTCTGCTTTCCATCCAGTCCACTAGCTCAGTTAATAAACTCTAATAACCTAAGCTCTTGCCTGGTGTCGTCTGTGCGCTGCCTATGATGAAAATACTGTTCGCTCTCATGTAAATATTTTAACCTGTGCCCAACTTTATCCACGAACTCACGACCGCAACAGAATTCAGCAGTGTATACTCCACTCCGCCAGGGGGCGCACGTTTGATTTCCGCCCTCCTGGAAGCTCCGCGGTGCCGTCAAGCAAGTGTCGCGATTGCAGCCCTACTCTACATCCAGCATGGCTGCGCTGTATGAGGGGTACACGTTGTGCCGAGTTGTACCTGGGCAGAATCGGGGCGAACCTGCGGTTCTTGGGGTCGCAGAGGGGAGGGAGACGGACCAGGTCGTTGTGACGGACCCGGGGAGGACTGTCACAGTCTATAAGGTAGCACGTCCGGGCAAGATGACCGGCTCGGTTCGGGACCCGACTCCTCGCTCTCTGTGCGCACGCTGGGAGCAGCTGTGTGGAACACGCGTCCCCCTCCCAGTGCTGCGTCTTGAATTCAGCTCCTTTTCTTTCCTTCGGCATGATTATATCGATTTTATTTGGGGGAAATCGCGCTCGGAGGAGGTGGAAGAGCTCGATGAAGCGGACGCTTGACCAGAATGCGTTGTGGGGTTGGTTGGGAGGGGGGGCTGTAATGTGCGTTTTGCTGTTAATTGTTAATTGAGTCCTAATGCATCTTTATTTATTCAGTCTTGACTTTTACTTATCCGCACTCTTGATTTAAATAGTGCAGTCTTTCTAGTTCTTCTGAAGTTAGCATTGGATAGTCGGCGGAGAGTTACAAATATCAGAACATTAGTTCATGTGCTTTTCCTGCAGACCGTGAGTGTTATGTGAAAAGGGTCCCACAGTTTGTGTACTCGCCTTTCTCCCACCCCAGAGTGGTCACGGAGAGCGCTGTCCCTCTGTGAGCGTTGCAGTCTCGGTACCTGACCCGGACTCTGGTGTTTCAGAACCTGGAGTCCTGGTCCTATCTGACCTCGGTTCCGATCGGTTTGGCGCGCTTGTGTCCGCAGGTCTCGGATCAGAAGCCCGTGGGCAGCTGGACTGTGAGACAAGGGCAGGCGCTGACGTGCCCGGCCGTGTGTAACAGACAGACTGGGGAATACGTGGTGGTCAGTGATCACAAGGTAGGTCTTTTTGTGCTTCACCTGCTCAGAGCACTTTCAGTGCCTCCGGTGCTGAGATGTTTTCAAGGTGATGATTTCTGGGGACTGCAGAGCGCTGGAAGCGTTGTCTTCGTGGGTAGAAAACGTATTTGCAGTGCAGAGCAGTAAGAATCGTTTCGCGGAGTGGGACCCACTGTTTCCTCTGCTAAGACACGGCTCCATGGCGAGAGCAAGCCATCCCGCCCGTTCAGCCTGTTTGGTTGCTCGCTGATCCAGAGATCTCATCCAGGCCCCCTCCCGAAAAAAGCCAGCATATGTGGAGTTCTGCGGCTTACCCGGTCTTTTCCCAGGACTATTCCAGGGCCTCCGGTCCTACTGCTGCTGCACGTCTCCGATCCAAAACTGCAGTTCTCGCCTGCCTGCTGTCGGACCTTCAGTCTGCCTGCTGCAGCTCCTGCGCCCCCATCATGCTTCGGCTGGGCATTCTGAAGCCCGTCTCTCCGGGGCCCGATCAAACTCCACCTTCACCCCAGCAGTGGAGCTGAGTGTCCACCCGCAGACAGACAGGGCGGAGGAAGGGGATTAAGCCCCTTGTAGGCCCCGGGCACTTCTGTTTAAAGGCCCTGGGTGGATGCATTTCTATGGGCAGATGGCTGATCAAAATGATCTTGAGTCCTGTTTTTCAGTTACCTGGTACTTGCTATACAAATGTACCTGCAGATCTCTAGTCTCCCCGCCGTACCTCCTGTGCTCCCCTCAGCATCCTGCAGGATTTCTCTCAGGTCTCCTGCTTTCCTTTTTCCTCCTTCACCCCTCGTTGCGGCAGGAGCTGCCGCAGGGATCAGTCCCCGGCCACCTCCCGGCTCCAGCAATCGCTCCTGAGCGCAGGAGCACGAGGCGGAAGCACTGCGCAGGAGCAACGGGCTGTTGTTTTTGTTCTCCGCAGGTGATACGCGTCTGGAAAGATGACGATCTGAATTTTGACAGAGTCTTTAAAGCGACAGTAAGTATAATGTTTGCGTATTCCCAGGGTCTCATCCGGCCGCGCCCTATATTGGCTTCAATATGGTGGAGGAACTGTTCCCTACTCCTACAGCCCTTTGTGTAACGAAAGTCTTTCCGTTTTCAGTTTTAACAAGGCGGTGGTTTGCTTTCTTGCCTAGACGCAGATCTGTGGTAGCCAGAGATATTGATATGAGATTGGGTAAAGGGCACGTTTAGGAACTGGCTGAAGGTGTGGGTGTCGTGTCTTTATCGTACCTGTGCACGACCCCCTCTCCCCCAGGTGTCCGCGGAGGTGGAGCGGGTCCACCCCGTGCCGGGCTCGGAGCCGCTGGTGCTGTTCCGGAGGGGGGCGGTCCGGCATCTGGACGCCCTGCTGGCCGCGCCTCAGCAGGCCGTGGAGGACGTCCTGTCGGAGGGGGAGGCCATCAGGTGAGGGGCTCCCGTGTCCTCCGCCTTCCCCGCCTCTCGGGCTTCGGGGGGGGCGAGGGGGAGTGAAGGAACACCGGTCCCTGCGTTGAGCTTGTGTCGAGGAAGCGGAGCCGTGTTTCCCGTCGGCTCCTCGCGCTCCTGTGCTCGCCCGTCGCCCGCCGGCGAGTCCCCTCCGCTCCGGAGCTGCTTCTTTCTTGGCGTGTTTATTTTATTGAGCTCTTTCTCTACCACAAGGTTGGAAGAAATCGGCTTGCTGGGTGCGTCTCAGGCCCCCGTGAAAGTAAAATGTCCACAGTAGGGTGTAAAACCTGCGGTTCGCAGCGCAGAGTGAGTTTCCACGCGTGCGCAGCGCCAAATTGCCGTTATTGTTTGCGATTCAGAAAGAGGAGAAAACGGTTCTGGTGACGTGAGGGGGCCTTATTGCGTTGTGAAGAAGCAGGCTAGCGAATGCACCTCTAGAAATATTGCTCTCGACTGCGAGGTGGTTTAGCCGACAAAAAAACATGAGTTGTTACCTCTGCTTCCGGATCAAGGCGGAACATTTCTGCGGTGAAGTGTCTGCGGCGCAACCGGCACTTATTGGCTCGTCCATCACAGCGCATCAGTCGTTATAGTGACTAGTGAGCAGGAAGGGCCGCCTCACATCGAGGTTTGGGTGAGCTCTCCCTCTCATCCTTGGCAAGACTGGTGGTTTTTGACAAAATGGCGGCCATACGTTATTTTCACAGAGTTTGCGATTTTGTGCTTAATTCGGAATTTGTTCAATTTAGCCATACTACAGTCGATGTGTTTTGAAACCGAAATTCAATAACCAGTCTGAGAAACTGGGACTGCAGTTCCCCTTTATAATAATAATAATTAATAATTGCTTACAGTTATAAAGCGCTCTTCTGGGCACTCCACTCAAAGCGCTTTACAGGTAATGGGGACTCCCCTCCACCACCACCAATGTGCAGCATCCACCTGGATGATGCGACGGCAGCCATAGTGCGCCAGAACGCTCACCACACATCAGCTATCAGTGGGGAGGAGAGCAGAGTAATGAAGCCAATTCATAGAGGGGGATTATTAGGAGGCAATGATTGGTAAGGGCCAATGGGAAATTTGGCCAGGACGCCAGGGTTACACCCCTACTCTTTTCGAGAAACGTTCTGGGGTTTTTAATGACCACAGAGAGTCAGGACCTCGGTTTTACATCTCTTCCGAAGGACGGTGCCTGTTTACAGTATAGTGTCCCCATCACTAAACTGGGGCATTAGGACCTAAATAGACCGTAGGGTGAGCGCCCCCTGCTGGCCCCACTAACACCTCTTCCAGCAGCAACCTTCGTTTTTCCCAGGAGGTCTCCCCATCCAGGTACTTGCAGCCCCACTGGGCTTCAGTGGGGCTGCCAGTTGTGAGTTGCAGAGTGATATGGCTGCTGGCTTTGAGTGAGTTGGTAAATTTGAACGTTTTAACTCTTTCTAAGAGATCACTTTATTGGCCATATACAATTTCAGTATACAATTAGGAATTTGTCTTTTCGCATACCCCAACTTGCTCTCCGTGAGATACACAGACAGGGAGAGAAGCTGGGGGTCAGAGCGCAGGGTCAGCCATTTATACGGCGCCCCTGGAGCAGTTGGGGTGAAGGGCCTTGCTCAGGGGCCCAACGGAGGAGGAGTCTTCTGCCGGCCGTGGAATATGAACCGGTAACCTTCCAGCCACAGGTGCAGATCCTGAGCCACAGAGCCAGCGTTCCGCCCCACAGCACTGACTGCGTGGGATGTCCTGAAACATGGGGGGGGTTAGTATCTGGGGCGGGCTGTTGACAGTGTGTTTTTGTGCCTGTGTCCAGATGGAGCACCAGCGCTGTGGATGGGACCCAGTGTGTCCTGATGTTCATCACTGAGAAGGTGAGCGCACTGTCCTGCTGAGAATATGTTGGATTTTATTTTATTTTTTAGTAAAGATGGTTGATCAAAACGTAATGCTTGGTCCTTTCTGATGTACGAGCTATGCCAGTTTTGCCGTTGATGGAAATTTAAGTTGCTCTTTCCTCTTCAAAGAAGCATGCTCTTGGTCGGCACCTACAGCCACCGGCTGTGAATGTGGCTGCGTGTGAGCGTGTGTAGTCTCCCGCTGTCATGCCGGGTGAATCTGCGTGTTTTCCTACCCCCAGCTGACTGGTAATCGCACAGTGAGGGCTGGGGCAGGTGTTGCACCAGCTGGTGTCATGTTAGCCCTCTTCAGAAAAACGGACTCTGAATAACCCAGTTACAGTTTCGCTCCCACAGTAACGCCTCAGTGAGGAGAACGTTCCCTGTGCTGCAGGTCCCGGTGGCGGGGCTTTTCCCCTCCGCAGTCCGAGCACAGGGGCATGTGGTGGAGACCCATACTGTACGCCATCAGCACAGCTGCCTGTGTTTATTGGTTTGTATCTCATTACAGTGTGCTTGCCAACTTTTTTTTTCTTCACAAAACATGGTCAGGATCTCCTTCTCTTGTCTGTGGTCTGTGGCAAGCACCCCAGCCTGCGGAGGTGTCCGTGTCCGGATCTACATGTCTGTGTTTAGTACCGCGGTCAGTGTCCCCAGGCTGCGCCCCTCGTCCAGCTGACGGTTCCTCTCTTCTTCCAGGGTGGGGATCACCTCTTGTACCTGCAGAGATCCAGGCCCAATGTCCTGCACAAGTACAAGATAGAGTGCGCCGAGAGTGGGGCCTGTCCCGTGAGCTTCACCGCCACCCTGCAGGGCGGAAACCTCCACTTCGTGTGCTTGTGTAAGTGGACAGGTGCTTGTGTAAAGAGCTGCACTCTTCACAGCGGCTCGGGTATGTCAGGGCTCGCTCGTCTCTGACTGACGGCATTCCCTCTTCTGAGCTTAGATTTGACTTTTGTCCACATCCACATGATGTTCCCTTTGGCTTTCGCTGACCGTGCCGCGTTCAGTTCATTTCCCAGCTTGAGGGGCCGTAGGCGTATCTTAAGTGTTTCAGCAGGTTTCTTTTAAAGGCAGGTCACTAACACCGGGCTCATCAAGGTCATGAATCTTCATGACTTCTATAGTATTGACAAGCTGCAGCAGACATTCACCAGGCTATACAGGGCCTATCATTTCTTTCTTTTACTCTTGCTTCAGAAAATCTAGTTGGCTTGGGTGTAGAAATTCAGAATAGCTGAGCCCTGTGTTGAAGACATGTTAAATGTCTTTGCCTCTAACCTGCTTGGCCTATGGGGCGTCACCAAGCTGTGTGTAAGACTTGTTTTCCTCTCTAGTGCATGCAGTCAGGAATGTGAGAAGCAGACTTTATCCTGGAGGTGCCCAGGCAGTAGAAGGCAGCAAGCCCTGTTTGTAAAGATTGTTTTGTTTTCAGGGAAGTCTAATTCCTGCTTTTTTTCCCCCCCTCCTTTCCCTGCAGATTCTGACGGCTGCGTATTCCGGTCCCTGGTGTCGGTGCCCGCTGCCGCCGCAGAGGGGGTGTCGGCCCTCCCAAGGACGCTGCTGCTCAGGCTGCCCGTGTCTGGGGGGGCTCTGGTCTCGGCCGCCCTGCTCTTCCTGGACGACGCCCACCTGGCCGTGGTGGGGGCCCCCCATCCTGGGCTCGGCTCCAGCCAGGGGAAAGGTGAGCGTGCTCTGGGGGGTCGCGTGGGGTCTGTGCTCCTTGTGGACGGTTCATCACGTCCTGCTGCCAGCTGAACCCGGCGACCCGAATGCAGACGAGAGCAGAGGGAGAGGGCACACCCCTCCTCTGGGCAGAGCTCCGGGTTTACTGTTGGAGCAGAATTGTCTCCCAGCTGCTCGACTTGTTTTGGTGTTTCCTGCAGAGTTCGTTAGGCAGCAGCTTTCATTTGCAGTCCTTCAGGATAGAGGCGATGTCGCTGTAAACCTCGTCTGGAGGTTAATTGCCCATTTTTTAAATCCTAGATTTCCTCTGTGTCTGGAATATAAATTTTCAGACGTTGCAGACTGCAAAGGAGCTGACAGGAGGGGCCTATGGACAGGTAAGGTATTCTCGTGAGCACATTTTTGAAGCAGCTGGCTGGTGTAGCTCAGTTGGGTTCTATCTGACCTATTGACCTATCTGTCTATCGATTCCTGGCCAGGAGAAGTCAGTGTAACTGTTGACTAAGATGAGCATCGGCAGAAGTAGATAAGAGTAGTTTTCTGAATACCTGGTGACTTCCTGGAACAGGCTGGAGAGTAACCAGGGAAGATCGGTGCCTGCAGAACAGTAGACGTATGTAGCAAATTAGCATTGCAGTGTCTGGGGGCGTCTTTGTCCTTGTGCTGTTTTACCCAGCGTTGCAGGAAATCTGCAGTGGTAACCCAGTCTTACCGTTCTAGACGTAGCCTGAAGGAATTTCCTCATCGGAAAGCGTGGTGCGTGGACTAATCAATCGCTTGCTTGTTTTCTCATTTCGGCTGCGGCCCGCTGCGCTGTTTCCCCAGCTGTGGTGTTACTCCGGGAGGCTGTACGTGGTGCACGGGGCGTCGCTCAGCGTCCTGCCCTACGCCTGCGAGTGCTCCTCCCTGGCCGCGGCGCTGGGGAAGCTGAAGCAGTCCAGCCCCGGAGGTAGGCCGCTCCTGGCCCTGCCATCGCCTCTGCCGGACCGCGCCCCGCCCGCAGCCCCCCCGGAAGAGGGGGGAGGGGGGGGCGAGGTTTTGAAAGAATCGTCGCCTTGTTTCTCCCGACAGATGCTCGGAGACCCGCTCCCATCCTGTCCTGGAACGCCCTGCTCCACGGAGAAGCGTCGGAGCCTCACAGGCCAGGGAAAGGGCTGGAGACCAGGAAGAGTGTAAGACTGGAGCCTGGATCGGTGGAGTTCACCTGATCATCACACTTTTTTGGGGGGGGGCTGCACTGTGGGTTTCTTGCTTCCTGTCCGACAAAAGAACCACAAGTTTGTGGTGTTGAAAGTCAGCCCAGAGCACGGTCAGAATTGACAGTGCAACCAGGGCTTGAGGAAACAAGGAAAGCTAGTGGGAGATAAGATCAGACTGAAATCAGGAAGTAGGTTTTCAGTTTAAAAGGCTGAAGGGGGCCTGGGACAGACTGCACAGCCGTGTTGTTGAAGCAGATCCACTGGGGTCTTTCAGGATACCTCTGGGTGGGATCAGTAAGAGGATCGCGTGCGGTTGTGTTCAAGCCTGTTCGGCAACAGTATGACTGTCCCCCGCAGTACAGCCTGGGAAAGCCTGGTGCCTCCGTTTTTCTTAATGCTTTCCGAAATCTGTTGCTTCTAGTCCAGTGCAAAATCTGTTCTTCTTCCGCAGAAGCAGGCACGCAAGAGTCACGCGGCTGTAGCCGTTACCGCCGATCAAGTTTTGGAACGTGTAAAGGTGAGAAAATATTTGAACGTTTCACTTTTACGGATGGTGTCGCTGTGGGTGGGTTTTATGGTGTCCACCTTGTTATTTTGATATGGGAGATATTTAATCTGTGTTCAGAGAGCATGTACTGCTTCTGCCCTCCAAACTACATTTGAACATAGTGAGGAAAATTGAGATGGGTTTAAGATGCAGACTGCATGATTTGTTAGAATTTATATTTCTCGTTTTTTTTTTTCCAGAACTTTGCTTTTTAGTTTTTAACCTAGCAGTCCCAGGAGACTGAAGTGTGTGTTTACTGCTCAGTCGACAGTTAAGGTGCTTGATGATGCCGTGTGACAGGTGTCTGTGTGGTGTGATGTGTGTGCAGCTGGGCGGTGTTCTTATACACAGGGGTGTCCTGCGAGCTGCAGGTGTGTATGGGCTGTGTGTATCGAGGACACATTGCTTTGGTTCTCCCTCAGAATGCATCGGAAGCGGGAGTGGAGGAGGAGGTCCAGCTGTTCCTGTCCAGCGCCTCTGTGCTGGAGCAGCAGCTCTCCGCGGGCCAGATAGCAGCACAGCTGGTGTCTCGCTGCCAGACCGAGCCCTCGTTCTACCCTCAGCGCACGCTGGTGCAGCTGGTGCAGACGCAGTGCCTCTGCCACAGGTAAGGGAGTACGGACTGGGGGGCGTGAGGTCGTCTTAAGAGCTCGGGCACGAAACTGATGCCTGAACCCGATCCCTGTCACTCCCTTTTCCTTTACGTCAGGCTTATCCAGTTGCGGGTGGTCAATTCTGTCGAGACGTCCTGAAACAGCAGAAGTTACTCTCTAAACTGTGGCTGTGCTTCAAAAACACCGGTCGTGCAACTTTGGTGTTATCGTTTTCTTAACTGATGGTAGTGATGGCTTTGAGATCCAGACCCATCTCTCGAGCTGAGCTTAAGAAAAGAAAGACGTTTTGGCAGCTGTTAAAAGTCATCGACGGGCTCAGAAACCCCTGTTGGCCATGTGCGGTTTTTTTCCTCTCCTCCTTTTGTGATGGTGTTGGCCTCGGCGGCCCGATGGTGAGCCCCAGGCGGAGCACGGAGACCCCTTGCGTTTCTTGAGCGTGCCGTGTGTGACCGGCCTTTCCCCTGTGCCGTGCTGTGTTCCAGTGTGTGTCCTGACCTCCTCCTGCTGGCGCTGGACAAGCAGGACTACTTCCTCTCTCAGCTGTGCCTGCAGCACTTCCCAGACATCCCAGAGGCCATCACCTGCGCCTGCCTGAAGGCCTTCCTCAGGTGAGGGGGCCGCGCTGCTCGTCCGCGGCGATGAGCACCAGTCTCCCCCTTCGGCTCTTCCTGGACTGCACCGGCCCGAATCAATAGGATGATTGGAAATAATTGTGCAGCGATTGCAAAAGCCGGGGGGGGAGTTGGGCTAACAAATCGATCTGTGCCGACTTTGATGAAACAGCTGCGGGGTAAAGACTGGACTGAGACGTGCAAAAATGACATTGTACATTTTAATGAATAGTTGTGAACTAAGTATTGATATCCTATATATGTAAAAACAAGATATTCTTAAGTGACATTAACATTGTGTAAAAACTGTGCTTGTTTGTTAATTAAGAAACATCCAGTGTTCTCGGGCTACAAAGTGCTAAATTTTCTATCGCCTGGCAAGTTTCACTGCTTGTCCAAGGAATATCTTGAGGGGATCTGACGAGTGTAGAATGCCGCGTGCAAAAGCTTTTTTTTTTGTCTTTAAATGTAGCTCATTTAAAAAAAGTTCTAGACTTCGTTTATTTAGCTTGTCATTGTAATGATGAGGTGCTGCTTGCGCACTCCTAACGCCGAAGCTTTGAACTCGCAGTATCGCACAGCGTGGCTGCTTCTAGCCTCGCGGCGCAAAGCAGGAAAGAAAAGCGTTTCGCTGTGAGCTGGCCGTGTGTGCGACCAGATCGGCGGCCATCCCTGTCCTCTGTGTCCTCCAGCGTCCTGGATACCGACCTGGAGCCGGTGAGCGTTGATCTGGGCAGCGTGTCCTTCCTGGACGCCCCGGGGCTGAGGAGCAGGAGGCTGCAGAACGGCTTCAGCCCCGCGGAGCTGGAGGAGGGGGGCTGCGATGTCCTGACGGAACCCCCCGGAGAGGCGACGGGCCCTGCGGTGAACTCCCTGGACCTGCCCTGCCCAGTGGGCCTGAAGAAGGCGGCCCTCCTGTATCTTTTTGTGACGAGGGCTTTCCCCAGCAGGAGCTCACGTCTGGCCTGTGGCTGTGCAGCAGCTGGGTGTCCTGTGCCAGCACTGCTCCTCCCCATTCAGCAGCAGGTGTAGAAGTGAGATGGCTTGCCTCTAAGCAAAGGCTATTGTGTGGTTTTTGTACGCTGCTCGGGCAGCGAATCATCATGCGTGGTCTCTGTATGTCTCGGTTATGGTAATTTCACACTCGCTGCAGTCTTTTTGATTCTTTGTAGCCCTATGCGCAGGCCCTGCCGGCAGATGTCAGCTGGCGGTCTGTGTGTTGTCGATGCAGAGCTTCTCGTCTTCTCCATGTGTCAGAATGCTCCCCCTCCTCGTGTTCGTCCTCGCTGTTAACGTCCTGTGACCGGGTGCGATCGAGTCCTGCTGTGCTCCTGATCCCGTCGAGTGGCTGTGTGGAATTCGCAAGGCCAGAAGATAGATAGATACTTATTGATCCCGTGAGGGAAATTGCAGTGCAACAGCAGCTTAACACAGACAACACAGCCACAGTGCAACGAATGATACAATAATAATAATGCAATACAATCAGTACAGAGAGTTACTCACAGTCCAGAACACTCAAGAACAAACCAGAACAGAACAGTACACAAAAAAGTCGTATTGCACAATATAAATGTAAATATAAACGTATTGCACGCTATGCAATACATACACTTTAAAAAAAAAAAATCCATTGCCGTCACCAGTTCTCTTTCTCCGATTTAATTCCCACCCGTTTCCTTAACTGCGGGACCTTAGGAATGAGATCCTCCAGACGGCGCATAGTGAAAACTTCCTTCTTCCGCACCTCAAAGATCTCGCGGCTCACCAGGTGCTCGTGAGTATCTGCACCTTCGCCGTGAAGCCACTGTGGGGCGCTGCCCAGAGCCGGTCGCTCCAGGTGGTCAGGTCCTCGCTGTGTCCCAGGAGCCCACTTGCCTGCTGCAAACGCACGAGTTCGCCAACCCTCACCGCCCTGCTGCGTGGGGCATGGACCTGCACAGAAGTCTTATTGTCGGGGGGGGGTTGTGTTTTATTCATGGAGAGGAAGGACTGCACTTGATGCCGATGGTTGTGCGTTTCACACAGAAACCTCTTTTGTTCCCGTTTCCTCTAGCTGTTTCTCCGGTACCTTCAGTTCCTGTATTTGAAATGCTCTCGGGACTTGGACTCGCAGCTGCCTGGTGTGAGAGCTCCCACAGTTTCTCAGGTCAGATCGGGAGCTTGTTGGATCTCTGTAGCCTCTCAAGTCACGAGCCTGAACGGGCCAATTGAATGTCTGCAATGTTTGTTTGTTTTTGTTCCTTCTAGATCATGGATTGGGTCTGTTTGTTGTTGGACTCCCATTTCACCGTGTTAGTTATGGTCCCAGAAGCGAAGGGATTGTTGAATAGCCTGCACAAGTTTGTGCAGTCCCAGGTAAATGATTCTCCTTGCAGATAGTAGTTTTGTACTTGGAGGATATAGACAGTGCTGGCTGTATTGTACCTGTGAGTTCATGTACCTTCTTGGGAAGGAGCTCAAGACATCTTTTGCTTCAAGCATAAATAATCATGAGGGTCCTTTGTCATTTTGAAAACAGAAAATATTTTATTAGCCACTATCATCATTTTTGTCCAACAAATAATATTCTATTGAATTAACAGAGGGTAAAGGACTTGGAAGTCCAGTGTGCCCATTAGGAGACAGAAATTGTGTGAATTAAAAATAATTCCAGACTGGGAATCCAGTACACGTGCCAAATTTAATTTGTGTGCCCTTTTTTTTTCCCCCTTAAAGGTACAGTTTTTCTCTGAACTGGGAAAAATCCACAGCAGCCTACAAGAGATCAACAAAATTAAACAGTCAGAAGAGACCGCTTTGTACTCGATTGAAGTGATCAAGCTGTTTTAAGAAGAAAACTCACACCAAATCATGTACAGACTTTTTAATAAATTAGTTTCATTTTTTTTCCTTTATCCCAGACTGTTTTCTTTTTGCGAGCTTTTTTTTTGCCCCGGTTTACCTTCGAGCAGAACATTGGAACTCGGTGTTCGGGAGAATCCTCAGCACAGAAGAACAGTAATCGACCTATAATATACTTGGCATTTATTTAAGAATCCTGCAGTGTGATGTTTTCTTGTGCTGATCTGTAACAGTCGTGCAGGAGAAGCAGAAAGTAATGTGATTCATCCTGTAATAGTCCTTGACTGATGTGTTCATGAAAGACAGGTTACATGTCATTAGTTTGCACATAGGGTAATGATCTAAGAATGCTATCTGCCCCTTTCATAAAGGATATGATGGCCTTAGGAAAACGTTGTTAACTTTTAGTATTAGTTTTTTTTTTTAACGAAACATTTAAATGTTTTATTGACGTCAGGCTGGCTCCGTTTTAATGACATGTCAAAGTCGACCTAACAAAATATGGAAAACAGCGAACTGCTTTTCTTGTTGTTAAATGCTCCATTTTGTAAATTGTTTATATATAAAAATGTTTTATTCTGGTATGTATTCTGAATTCTTCTGCTCCGGCGGTCACAACAGGCACGCGCGGGATCGGAGATTTCCTTTCTGTGACGTCACGCCCGGCCGTGGCGTCTCGCGCGCGTAGAGAGCCGTCCCGGTCACGGGCGCGTGCTGCAAGCTCCTCGGCTTGTCGCGTGGCTCACCACGTGGGGGCGCGGTTCATTCACAGTTTCCATAACGACCACGGGGGATTCCTGATGGGTTTGTTTTCCCCTAAAATCGCAGCTGCCTTCCATCGTACATCAAAAGCAGGTTTAACCGAAGCATTTGGGGGGAAAAGGAGCCCGAAAAGAATTTTATTGACGCTTGTGTTCTGGGGCTTAAAGTAGCCTTGTTACAGTTTAATAATTCCTTACACTTATATAGCACTTTTCTGGACACTCCACTCAGTATCGCGCTCACACAGGTAATGGGGATCCCCTCCACCACCACCAGTGTGCAGCCCCACCTGGATGATGCGCCAGTACTCTCCCCACACACCAGCTCTCAGTGGGGAGGAGAGCAGAGTGATGAAGACGGGGATTATTAGGAGGCCATGATGGGTAAGAGCCAATGACGCTGGCGTTACACCCCTACTCGGCCAGCCTCAGGACCTCGATTTAACGTCTCTTCCGAAGGACAGCGCCTTTTCACAGTACAGTGTCCCTGTCACTGTACTGGGACAATAGGACCCACACAGGCCGCAGGGTGAGCACCCCCTACTGGTCCCATTAACACCTCTTCCAGCAGCAGCCTTAGCTTTCCCAGGAGTCTCCCCTCCAGGTACTGTCCAGGCTCACACTGCTGAGCTTCTGGGAGTTGCAGGGTGATACGCCTGCTGGCCGTACATAGTTAAACCATATTCAATTTGTTCTTTGTTAAACTCTGATGACATGTATCTCGTTTTCAAACGGAATCGATAGAGCACGGGGTTTCGGCGTTTTGATACATTATATTAAAGATATAACCATTTTAACATTCCGTTTGTAATCGTAAATGTTACGATTTCCCCTCGCGTTTTATTGGAGGCCTTCTAATGAAGATTCATCTGCGATGACTACAAGAGTAAAGAAAATGAGTAATCTTGGTTTCTTTAAAAAAAATACCATTTCCCTAGAATTTTGTTTTACAAAATATTCAGTGGTATGGACCTCTTTTCAGCGCTAGGGGGTGATATTTGCTGCGCTTTCGATTCAACGCTTTCATATGTCAGAAAAAGATGTCGCTCGTTTTAATGGGTTTGACCGGGATGGATCCGGGAGAGTTTTAGATTAAAAAAAAATGAGAATGTTTCGTGTTTTACATGGGGATGTTAACTGTGGGCCGGCGGACAACGGACCCTTTGTGAAACGGAAACCTCTCCCGACATTTTTTTTTTCTGCTTTCAGTTTGAATGCAGTGCTCGGGTAGTCGCACAATCAGATTGAAACGCGTGCGTCGATATATAACACACACGCGCGCTTCGTAAAAAAATATTACAAAATCAATTTTGTCGACTGCTAATTAAAGGTTGAAGCAGGAGAGGAAAATTTACGCACCCGTAGTCGGCAGGATTCGAACCTGCGCGGGGAGACCCCAATGGATTTCTAGTCCATCGCCTTAACCACTCGGCCACGACTACAAGACACTAACTCCTCCTCCGCCCGCCGCCCAGAGCTGGTACAGAGCCCCACCACCAGTGTCATTTTCAACGCATTCCCAGAAATATCGTCCAAGAGGACATGCATCTACTTCAGAATCTGTCCCATTCACTGAAACGGCCCGCTGCTTCAATAAAGATCTTCATTTGCCGGCTGTCTCAGGCGTGTCGTTAGGTCTAGGAAACCGCAGACCCCAATTTTGTTTCAGAAAACACCCCCCCCAGTTTAAGGCCTGCGAAACACATGGTTATATTGATACTCGAGGGAGAACCTAAAAAATACATATATTTTAGTGGCCGTCGTATTTTCCCCCTAGACCGCCGGTCGCTTCTCAAAGGCGGCGCTAAGAGGCGCTGTGTGGTTGTGAGGGAGAACCGAGTTCATTCAGAAAAAATCCCTTCCAGCGTGCGAGGTGTGTGATGAAGGCGAGAGGGCCTTCAGAGGAGACAAGACGACCAAGGCGAAATCTTCAAGGTGTATGGGAAGATCACACACAGCGGTCACACAACGCACAGGGCTGCCGTGTGGCTGATCTCGGTCCCCCCCCCCCTGTGCGTGGTTTATGTGTTGCTCATTCCTTTTGTTTGGTCGCGCTTTTTCGTCCGGGAAAGGCGATGAAATCCGGGGGGCAGCGCGCACCACGCGTGATCATTGCCCCGCCACCGTTACTGGTGAGCGATTTGCGCTCTCACAGCGGCAGCGTGGAGGAGAAACTCGCAGCAGGGACGACGGACGGCCCCACACACCGGCCTGATCGTGATAACCGGTGATTCGTCATCTTATCAGACTGTTTGGGGAACGTGTTTTTTTTTCTATATGCAAAAAAAAACTAAATGAACGGCAGTGGGATCAACTCCGAACTCTTGCTTCTCAGACTCTGATTAATGGAGTGTTAAGACTTTTATTTCCGTAGGGACTGTGGGACCTGCGGTTTACAGCCCTAGCTTTAGGACGCGACGGGCGTCCTTGGACGCGCACACGCGGATTCACGCACGACATTTCTGCCAGGGATGTGGGTGATGTGGTGTCCTGGGACTCGCTGGAGCCGGGGAATGATAAACCAGCCCCGGGTCACCTCCCGGACCCGGACGGGAGGAAAGAACTGCGAGTTTGATCGAGTTCGTTATTGCAAATCGCGTCATTGTAAAGATCAATAAAGGACGCGTGGGGACGATATAAAACGACACTTTCTTTCCCCAGTTTGACATTCGTAAATGTAGGTAGTCAAAAACTGGGAAGGGGGGGGGGGTCGACCACGGAGAAACGCTTCCCTTGAGAAGGGCGTTTTGTTTTCCGCATTTAAGACCTTGCGACCTGGATCTGAGCCGCTTGCTGACCTTTCCCAAGCGCCGAGCGAGGGAAAGGCGTCCGATGAGCACGGCGAGAACGCACACTTGTTGGCGAGGGGAGGGGGGGGGTTACTATCCCAGCATCCCTGCTCTGATTGGATACTGCCCTGACGGTTGTGTGGACCGCATGAGCGCCTGTGTTTTCCTTTGGCTTCTGGGGGCTGGTGTGTTGTGACATTGTTTTGTTTTGTTTTTGTTTTTTTTTTTGTTATTGTTGTTGTCTCGCACAAACTCCCCCGCCGTCGCGCGGGCGTCGTCCTGCGACCAGCAGCAACAACAACAACAATAATAATATTAATAAAATAATAATAAGAATAATAAAAGCGGCGCTTTAGAAGAGCGCTAGACCTAGGTGGTGGTGATGGCGGTGGTTGCTGCTGCTGCTCCTGCTGCTTCCTCCGTTTGAGGAGAAAAAAACAAAGATTTTGGATGCATGCACGTAAACAAACAGAAATCACGCAGCCCCCGAGCCGAGGCACCCCGCTCTCCTGCCGCCGGAGACGCGCGCCGAGCCGCCGGAGCAGCGAGTGCGGCGGGCGGTCACGTGACCCCGCGCACCGGGCCTGCTGTCTGTTTTCAGCAGACGGAGAGAGAGGAAGAAAAATGGCGGCTGTGGGCGACCCGGAGCGGGACGCCGGCCATTCGGCTTGAGCTTTCTCTCCCTAACTGAGCCCGGGGCTTGGCGGGACCGGCTGCTCCGAAATCGGCGGAGGTCCAGCTTTCGGGCGGTACCGGTCTGACCCGGTTTGCGCCGTCGAATCGCGGCGGAGGGCCGAGAGCGAAGATAATAGGTTGTTTTGGTTGTTTTTTTTTTTTTAAGCCGTATTCTATGCGATGAGGGGGAGAAGAGGCAGGCCGCCGAAGCAGGCGCTGATGCACGAGCCCTCCTCGGGGCCGGTGCGCGGGCTCAGACCCCGGCGCGGGCTGGGCGCCAAGGGCCGGGGGGCGCCCGAGACCGACCTCGCGGC